AGAAAGAAGGCAGCACACAATGCCAGGCCTGTTCGGCGCAGGCCTCCCAAGCAGCCTCAGCCAAGACCGAGGGCACAGAGAGAGCCTCCAGGAATCGTGCGATCGGGAGACTGGCAAGGGCCCCGGCCCTGGCGCCTCCGTCCTGGCAAACCGGCCCACGGAAAGACTCACGGAGGAAGGGCCTTAAGGTGGCGGTGGTGGCACAGCATCGCCCTGTGCCAGCACGGCGGAGGGGGCAGCGGGAGGCGTTCTAAAAGTTGCTTAGCTTGCCAGACGCCAGGTTTGTTAAAATAAAATAAAACTCTGGGCTCGGGAATCATTAACATATATAAAGCAAGTGTGCCTTTCTCTCTGCAGCAGAACAGGAGGGGCTGGTCTTGGGTGTCCTTCCCAGGTTGCTCCTGGGAAGCCGAGAGGGAACCCACTTCTGCAAGGGAAGCTCCCCCCTGCAAACCCCCCCCCCAGTTCGCTTCTGGGGCTCAGGGCCGCAGGCAAGAAAGCCAGAACCCTCGACAGAGAAACAGCCCGAAACCTCGGAGCGCGCCAGTCCCGGGCCAGGTCAGGAGCGGAGCCGCCTGCGATGGAAGGGCACCGTCTGGGCTCCTCTCGGGTGAGGAGAGACACCCACACCCCAAGCACAGCTTCTGGGAGGCAACCTCCCGCAACCAGCCAGGCATCCAGAATGACCCCCTCAGGATTAGACCCCTGTGGTTATTTTCACCGTCGGGCCAAGCAAAGCACCTCGGAAAAGCCTGTGGAACGGCCCGGCATTTTTCTCCAGAGCAGGCAAAGCCCCGGGGCCTCTCTCGGGTGAGGAGAGACACCCACACCCCAAGCACAGCTTCTGGGAGGCAACCTCCCGCAACCAGCCAGGCATCCAGAATGACCCCCTCAGGATTAGACCCCTGTGGTTATTTTCACCGTCGGGCCAAGCAAAGCACCTCGGAAAAGCCTGTGGAACGGCCCGGCATTTTTCTCCAGAGCAGGCAAAGCCCCGGGGCCTTCGCTCAGAAGAGGTGAGGGGGGGGGCAGGACCGGGCACCGGCCTTCAGGGCCTCCGGGCACAGAGA